ATGCAACTCTATCTCCAAAAATAAGTATCTTTACTTGGTGAAAATTCCATAGCTTTAAAGGTTATATACTAAGTGGAGATAAACATCTGTGAAGAAAATCTAGAGCTATCCGAATAGGTCAAGGAAGCAGGTTGAGCCGAATAGGCCCAACCTGTAATCAATTCTGGAACATCAATAGAGGTGCAAATCATCACCTGATGGCCAAATCATTTAAATTACTCTTGAAATTACAGATAAATTCATTACTAGTTATACATCATTTATTGATTATTGTCTACCTATACTAACATGCATTCAAAGTTATCACCATCTAATAATAAGACGATTCCTCTATATAACCATAAAATTTGATTAAATTGGAATATATAAAAATTGAACATAGCAAATATTGGTATATTTATTGGTACATAGCAAATATACAAATTGCTTAAAAACAAATCATTCTTGATGTTATTCTTTCAATTATGGGTGGCTTGGACCCCCATAATGGTCCTACACTAGACCACCATATCCAATAAAAATTACAATAAAATAAGATTTGGATTGAACAATCAATAATACATGTACATTTTGAGGTAGAACTAATCTCTAATTATAGTCCGAAAAACAAGTATTGTGTTAGATCAAAATAGATGCTTCATTAATGGGTGACAATTATATTGGGTTTGGTGGTTTATTACTGGACATAATGACTTATGATTGAGAAATTTTAAGGGACAAAGTTGGAGGGAGAAAATAATACATATGGCCTTAACATTAAAGTTTAAAGGATTATCGAAGGTTAATTTGTAGGGACATTGAATGGCCTAAATTATAGAGGTCTTGTTTTTGTCTCTTGGGCCCTTAGACATGGTTCAAACAACAATTTTCTCTTGTAAGTGATCTTTATATAGGTAATTTCATTGTCTAAATATGATGGTTTTTATTTTAGGGTTACCTTATTTTTTTGTACTCCACAATTTTGCACTACTTTTTCTTTGTCTATTGTATTATTGCATATATTGCTCATCGATATTTTGCTATGTTACATGGGCCGGTGACCTCTTTCGTTCATCTTTTAGTGGGGTGGACCGGTGGTAGATGCGGATGTTGTTGATACCGTGCCGGATTTATTTATTTTTTCTGGTGAAAAATGTATACTTCCATAGTATATCTCAAAGTGTTGATACACAACTCTTTTATTTATTAAGTTTGTCAATAATATATATATTTAATTGTGTATACCTCTAATTCAATAGATGGAATTATAAAAAGTTGATATTTCAAAAATATGCATTGGGTGAAAACTAATAAGATCTCATGAGATATATATTTTTTATTTCATAAATTTTAGAAGTAAGTTTGTGAATAGTATCAAAAGTCTAAACGTTTCAACTAATTTAACACAAATTAAAGGAAGGATTTTAACTGTGTGTGATCCCAAGAATGTCCTACAAGCGATCAACTTTAAGAATATACTCGGCTTTTTTTAGCTTATATATGGACCTAAAGAAAATGGCAACCTCACCACTATGGAACGTTAGTCTTTCATACTCTGTATAAAAGTATACATTTCATAGTGTTTCTATTATCCTGCTTTAGAGTGAATCAATGACTAGTATAATTTAACGATAACAAAGTATCCGTGGACATTAATGGTACAATTCACACGATTATTTAGAAGACTTTTTTATTTTATTTTATTTTTGTTTTATTTTTATTTTATTTTATTTATTTATTTATTTATTTATTTTAAATAATCTCAAATGAACAAAAAGAAAAAAAGTAATTTTGATTGTACGTATAAATTACTATAGAAATTGCCAACATCCTCATATTCCTCAAATCTTCACTCTTAGGAAGAATTTTCATCTGATTTGAGGCCAACTGGATTCAAATCCACATTAGTTGAATTTTGTAGTTTTTAGATATTGAGTGCTTAATCATATCATTGACTAATATTTCTCCAACACATGTGTTGATAATTACAAACAGATCGAATAAACAGAAACAAAAATAATCTTCTTTTCCAATAAATTTTTTGTGTTTTTTTTGGCAATAACTTGAGTTAAACTTGACCTGAACAATTTTGTATGATCTTAGTTGTGGTTTAATGTTTTACTTAAGTACCACATATACATTACACATTTACGTTACAATGTTACATTATTAATGTGACAATAAATTTTGGACATAAAGAGCTTATTTTCTAGCATATTATTTCCTCACTCAGATAAAAATCAACTTATCAACAAAAACGGGGCCCATGGCAAAAATAAAGTCTCGATCAGTTATCCAATTTTACAAGTCATATCCAATACGTATATTAAAACAGTTTAGAAATGAATTTGCTTATATCAAAATAATAAAATATGGACCCTAAGTCCCTATCATCTTCTAGAGTTTTAGCTACATACTGTATATACGTGAATAATATAAATTGTTCCGTCGCAATAATTGCAGATTCTACATATACACCAGTTCACTATTTAGCCAAAACTTTGGAAGTTTGGAGTATAATTATATTTTTTTGGCAGGATTATTATAATTATATTATTCATGTATAATATAATCATCATGTGGTAGGTCGTATACTCGTATACACTTTCCATAATTAAGACGCATCTTTATACAGTTATCTGAACAAGGGGGAGGCATCATGCAGAATACTATTAAATAAATATACGCATATTTTAACTTTAAAAATAAATGATTTTCATGCACATTTTGAAATCACATTATTAGTATCTTTGTTTTGAGTTTTGATAGAAAATCAAATCCAACCATAGTTTCATTGCATTTAGATTTACCATGAAAAGGTTGATGTATTCATGTCTTGATGTCTAGTACATTAAGTTGGGACAAAGGGAGTTTATAATACAGAGTATATAGTTAGAGGCCAGGTTCAATCAATAGTAATGTTTAATTTACTTAAAAAAAAACTCTTTATATGTATCTATCTCTCTATTTAAATTTGATGTATCTTATATAGTAATGAAAGATGATACAACTAGATTATTATATTTTCATTCACTTATTAATATTATTCAACATTAACCCTTCTTAATTAATTTTGCTAAACTTATAACTTTATGATGAGTCGGGATATCGCCCACTCTAATAACTCATATGTTCTAGTACTTGTAATGGATCAGATTCGGATCGGGTGGAGCTTCACCCGCATCCATCTATCATTTCAATTGCTTCATCCACATCCATCCATCACCTGCTTCACCCATCATCTATATCCGTCCATCCATCATCTGCGGATGAAACGGGTGGATTGGATGACTAATGGATGAATATTTTATGAAAACAAATTCACATAAAATTTAATTTATGGTTATTTTTAGCATGAATTATTATTATTTTTCAAATAAAAAGGAAGCACTAACTACATATTCTTTGAAAAAATTAATTTGTTAAGAAAATGGACAAGTTCGCAAGTAATGGGCTGCAAATGCAACGTGCAACGCTGGATTGAAACTCAACAAATTTGACTGAATATGCAACAGCATATGGTACCCAAAATTTACCAACTAGGCAACTAAGCTTAATTTTGACTTGTGCACAATTAACATTTTTTTTCTTTTTTAGGAATGCACAATTAACATTTAACAACCCATTATTACTTAAAACATTTCTTAATCCATTGGGTGGTCCAAGCCTTTGGTAGGCCCCTTCCTTGGATCTGCCAGCGTTCCTCTTATTGAGACTTGAGATTTTTATTTTTTCATATGCTATGAATTTACGGTTTTTAATATACATTTTTAATCACAAATATATGAATAAAAATTTTCAAAAAATTAATATTTTAATATAGTTTTGATATTTATTATATTACCTTCGTTTCTTATTATTTACAACATAGGGTCTTATTTGATGAGATATAAAAATTCCTTTATTGCAAATAATAAGAAATGGAGGTAGTAGTTACTCCGTTTTTATGATTAAAGTTTGTAAAACCTGACTATAAAAGTATTTATATAAAGAATAATAAGTAGTGGAGGGAGTAACATCTTAAAAGCTTGATATTTTCATCAGTATCTCCTCTTATTGCCATTAATTTTGAAAAAAAAATTGATACTCCCTTCATATGTTTTTAGTGATATATACACAATTTTTTTTTTTTTTTTAACACTATATTGTGGTTCAAGATCTAGTCTATAAGGTATTATCACATAATATCCTTATTTATATAAATTTGACAACTAAAAATTGACAAAGTTTGTAAGCCGTAAAATAAAAGAAAGCATAAAAATAAATTAACAAGTCATGTATAAGGCGGTCTTATATTAATTTTATTGTAAGACAGTCAATATAAGAGTAACTTTAACAGTTTATATGGTAATTTTAATCTCCTTAAGGGTAACTTTTAATCTGTAACGAGTTTGATTGTATTTTAATGTGTAATTTCTAATGGGTACATGTTATATGAAGGTTAATATGATTGATATAATAATACTGCATTATAAGAATTTTTAAGGGTAAAATGTATGTTAGGAAAATGATAACTTGTGTAGTATATAAGGGTAACTTTAAATACTTTTAGGGTGATTTTAATCCGTTTTACAATAATTTAATGAAAGTCCGTCATAATCAAGAATACGTGATAAATTTAATGGAATTATGTGACAAATAATGGTTTGAACTCATTTTTTTTAATTGATTTTGTTTCACCTATTCGAATGATATATTTCTAGTTAAACCATCAACATTATTAAAATCGAATAGTATTATACCCAAATCCCCATGATTCATGACAAAAATTATTATACTATTACTTCAATATTCTCATGTATTATATCATACAATACATACACATTTTTTTTACAGGGTCAAACACACAAACAAATAATGCCTCATTTCACCTATACAATATTATAAACACCACATCAATATATTACAATAAATCCCAGCAGTATGGGTCCTACCTGTTTAACTAGCACTGTCATGCTGTCCACACCACCCCGTTATATATGGAGAACATTCAAACTTAGCTCATCTATATTGCTAGCCTTATATATTCAACAAGTAGCTCACTTATTTTTTCTTCTATTAAGCCTAAGTTATAAATTTTGAATTATATCTTCAAACACTTATACTTCAAAAATTTATACATGGCTAAAGTTCACCCTCATCTCTTATCTTCTCCTGCTCTTTCGCCTTCACGTTCATCGTCTCAAGAGACAGAAAAGTTTACTGTTTGGATGAAATCTCTAGTACTCAATGGCAATGGTTGCACCATCTATGATGCCATGGGCAATATTGTGTATCGTATCGATAATTATGACACCAAGTGTAGCAGCCAAGTTTTCCTCATGGATCTTAAGGGAAAAGTCTTAAGCACCTTGATTAGAAAGGTAATTGATTTATAAACTTATACATTATTTACTAATAATGTTCATGAGAACAATTTTTTTAAATTAGGGCACTTCAAATATGTATATGTATTTAATAAATTTGTTTCGAATTTGCAGAAATTGAGATTAAACGAGCATTGGGATGGATACAAAAATGACAGAGTAAAAAATGATAAGCCTTGGTTTCGAGTAAACAAGATAAGCAAGGTTTTTAACAAGAACGGAGATGGATTTTCATGTCAAGTTACAATGGAAGGCGACGAGTCTCAAGCATGTTCTTGCTTTAGAATACAAGGGTGTACTCAAAAATCCGAATTCAAGATTATTAGAGGCGACGGACTTGTGGTTGCACAAGTTAAAAGAAAGCAATCAACAAGCGGAGTAATGTTGGGAGACGACGTATTAAGCTTGGAAGTACAACCAAACATGGATAATGCCTTCATTATCTCGCTTGTTGTAGTTCATGGTTTGATTTCTCATAAGATTTGACTTATACAAACCCATATATAGCTTTTAAAAAATTAATTTTTTAACACCAAAAAAAAAAAAAAAAAGAATGATCAAAATCGCATACATGAAAGAAATGGTGTACGTATGATCAATTGATCAATGTGTGACTTACAACAGATATTTTTTGTAAACCCTCCGGCCTTCATCATCGTCCATCATATAAGAAGAAGTGTGTGTTTGATTGCTCGAGGGGGCAGTTTTCGAGCATCACAACATTCTGCGAGCAATAAGCTAGCTACCCATCGGCGTGTAGATATGTTGTACAGAATTGAAGCTTGGAAGCATGAAGTTTGTTCGTTCTTTCATAACCGTATATTTGTATACAATTTTTGGCCTAATTACTTAGGGTTTGTGTATAATTGTTTATACTAATGAATGAGAAATTGGACTTGATTTTTTAGATTCGGTTTAAACCTATACAATTTAGATTGAGTTGAGCTTATTGCTCTATCTTTATCCTTGAATAATTAAAGGGTATGCTCGATAAAAGTAGATATTATGTACTTAATCGTTACAAGTGTTGAACTTTATTAACCGGTTAGTTAATATCAACAAAAAAAATTAATTCTTCAAAACATTAATTTTTAGATTAGTAACAATAATTTTAATGAATCGGAGACAGGATCAAATGTTATGTGAGGTTGGTTCGAAGAACAACAGCTTGATCGAGGTAAGAATAGGTCCAGTGACGAGTGAGCGTTGCATTAATTGGACATACAAGAGTTGGTAACAAAATTAAAACAATTTATTGACTCCGTAAGACTTTTAAAAGCTACTTCTCCAACACAATTTTATTTTTTTTACTTTAAAAATAAAAGAAAAAAAATAATAGTACCATATAAGAAGATTTTTTAAAAAAGGCCAAAAGGTTAAGAATTACCCCGATCCGTATTAAGCACTAATATTAACATAAATCGACACATGACTTTATCATAAATTATCAAGTCATATGTATTCAGAATATATATTTAATGTCTACATACAACCCTAACATATTATTACCTAAAAGTATGAACTTTGTTCTTAAAAAACAATTTTACTAATACTATGTTTAGTAACTTTTGACTTTACGAAGAACCAACCAAAAGTTGAAAAGGCATCGCCAAAGATGACCAAATTAAATTAAGTTTTAATCAAAAAACAGTTCAATAACTTTTCTTTAATCTTACTTCTTTCGTGGAAGTTAAAAGAATATCCACTTGTAATATCAATGACTAAGCTCATAGACTCGTAGTTAACTAAAAATTCTACTCTAAAGAGAATTTAATTAGTTGACAAAGACAATAATATTCAACAATAAAGCAAAAGTTGAGCAATCATAAATTAATGTTGATCACATGTATTGATTTTATGTTTTTATTGATTTTTATGTTTTGAGTGAAGCATTTGCCAACAATAGTTGAATTTGGACCAAGTGTTTTCCATTCATTTGATAGAAATGGTTGCATGTGCCCGGTGGGAACTATGGCACTATGGCCCTATTTAGAGTGGCCTACTACGACAATTTTATTGAACATTTTATAGCTGGACACGTACATTTTGGGCTTTTTTTTTTTTTTTTTTTTGTCATTTCACTAGCTAGTTATGTAGTTCTTCCGCTCTAATTGGAATTAATTATCACATTATCTCCATAAATTATTCATAATTTAGGATATGTTCATCATTTCATATATAAATAATATGACACATACAGATGATATGACAATATATGGATGATTGTCTACAGGGGCGGAACTAGGGTGGGTTCAAGTGGGTTCATTGAACCCACTGATTTTTTGAAAAAAATTTAAAATTTTTTTTTTTAAAAAAAAAAAAAAAAATCAAAATAGGTTTAAATAGAATATTTGTGTATTATATGGCAACAAGTAAAGTTGTAGCCCAGTGGTTATTTTTACCTCCCATCACACAAGAGTTTGTGGGTTCAAAACCCATAACTCACACTTTTTTTTTTTAATTTTGTTTCCTGAGCACTGAGCTTTCCTGCTTCCAGAGTTCGCTTTCCTCTTCCTCATTCCCCCAAATTGCAAAACCCTAACTTCTTCCTCCAATCCTCCTTCTCTTAATCTCTTCCCGTTCTTCCTCCTTCTCTTCCCGGCGCAGCACGGCAGCAGAGTCAGCAGAACACGGCGGCAGCGGCAGGCCGGCAGCGCACCAGCCACTCACCCAGACCCAGCCTCACAGCCGTGTATGGTGTATCGGTGTATGTAGGGGTAAGTGAATTTGGGGATTTTTTTTTTTTGCAAATGTAATTTACTTCTCAATTTGGGGATTTTTTTTGCTAAATCATTGAATACTTGAAAATTGAAATTCATATGCTAAATTCAATTGCTAATATACATTACGATTTACGAATTGCCAATGTTTTGTAAATTGCTGAAGTTTGGATATAATTATCTAATTTACTTCTCAAGTTCTCAATTTGGGGATTTTTTTGTATTTCGTATGCTATTTTCATATGCTATGCTATTTTCTGCCTTTCGTTTCTGCCAATTCATATGCTATTTTCTGTATTTCGTTTCTGCCTTCTAGTTTTCATAATTTCATTTGCTATTTCGTTGATATGGGTTTGATTGATGAATATTATAGATCTTAGAGATAATTTATTTACATTGTTATGTTTAATATATGCTAATTTTTAATTCAATCGTGAAAATTTGGCCTTTAATTATTCTGTGTTTGAAGCATGATTTTGAGTTAAGTGATGTTTGGCGAACACTCTTTGATAATTTTATTTGTATAATTTTGAGTTCAGTGATGGTTTTGTATTGCTGATTAATTATATATAAAAAATTGAAATTAATCCTGTGACATGAATCTACTACACAATTTAACTCTAACTAAGCTACATTGAATTGAACATTTTTATTGTCGGCACATAAGAATTCTGTCAAGCCATAGCTAACGACAGTAATCTGCTACAATAATCTAAGTGAGCAATCAGAATGAGAAAAGCTTCGATAGTGAAACGATAATATTTAGCTACTTGAACTTAATATCCCTATTTGGTTAGTTTGGCAACTTATCAAATGAGAAATAAATGTAAGGTGGGATGTTGATCCATGTATTGGGTTAAGTCCTTAAGCTCTAGCGATGCGTGAAAGGATACAATGAAATATCATGGCCATTATCATTATTTTTCCGTCATTAAGTTAATATGTGCTGATTGTTGGCCTCTTTGACTAGTTGAATCCATATTTTAACTCTATAACAATGATAGTATGTAGCTTATTCAGTTTAAATAGTATATGTGCAATGTAATGCTTACTTGCTAATTAGAATATTGTAGCTTTTTTTTTAATGTTAACTTGTAATTTATTTAATGTGTTGCTTCTCTGCCATTGTATTAGCTTGATCAGATTTTATCGGTTATAGCTTTTTTTTTTTTTTTTTCATTTTTCTATGTGTAATCTATTTGTAATCCATAGTTTGAAATTATTTATGTACTGAATATTTAATTATTGTATTTTTATTCCTTTGTTAATTATGATTTCAAATTTCGGAAGTTTCGAACCCACACTTCGAAAATCCTGGTGACGCCACTGATTGTCTATACTATTACTTTTGTATTTAGTCTACTAATTATCGTAGATATGTAGCTTACAAATATTTGCATTTATTAGCTAATTACGCATGCAATTCTTTGTATGTAATTCTCACTCTGAAAAGAAGAAATAATCACATTGTCTCATCAACCTTTTCATATATAATTTAAGATGTGCTCATAAAATGATTGTTTATACGTTTATACTTCTACCTCATTTTTTGTTTAATTCTATTCAATAATCGTAGATAAGTATATCAAGTAAAGTTTGAAAATGTTTAGGATGTTAAGAAAAAAATGGAGTAAAAAGGTCGGTGGATATAAGAAAAAATAAATAAATCAAGCAGGAGTGGAATTTTATGAGTATAGTGACAGTAAGATTATGTTCAATTTACCTTATTTAAGCAAGTATCTGCTTATCTAAAAATTGATGAGATTAGATCTTATCAATCTTACCTGCGGTATACTTATTGCTTATTTCTCACATACACACTGAAGAAGAAGAAGAAGGAAAAAAAAAAAAAAAGAGGCGAGTAAGAACGAAGGTAAAGTTGTAATGTCCATAATTTTTTTTACCCGCTAGTTATTAGTTAATTTAAGTAGTGAAATATTATGAATTCGATCAACCATCATTGACACTTATTTGTCCGAACATCTTAAATTCTTAATGTAGTATATGTAGTGTCTATTTGTTTCGAACGTAGGCAGGGAATATATAAAGTATAAAGTAGCTAGTATATAACTTTAGTTTTTCCAAATAAGGGGGAGAAATTAAAATTTGTCAATGACATGTAGACAAACACTACCTACCAAAAGAAAAAAGGAGGAAATCTAGTTTGATGTAATAGACTTATATTGCAAATATGAAAAGAATGAGTAGCAAAAAATGGCTGCCTATAATAATTGTACAGGCACACATTGGATAAGGATGCATAACACAAACCAACTAAACCAATTTTAACAAGATTTAAGTTGGCACGTGGTGGTGGTGCCCAAGGAGCACTACTACGACACGACCGTGAAATAGTAGAATATGCTACTAATCTTGTTTCTTTCTTTCTCTTGGACATTATTACTTTGCCACAAAATAAATATCAGTGTAAGTGAGTGGTGTTTCTAACGGCAGTTGGCACAATCAAATTTTGGTTAGTTATATAAGTGAAGGTTTCAATCAGAATTATTGTATAAGGTTGAACAACGAACTCACAATGGAAATTCGAATTGTGTGTTATGTTTGCACCTAAAACAAAACATTGAAAGTAACTTATGAGGTGATTGTTTGGATTGTGCCGTAATTTTGGGTTGCAAATTAGCGTATTCTTTGCAAAGTAGAGGTGATTATTTGCTGACTTGAGCGAAAAAAGGGACAACTCTATATTATTTATACCGACTTGATATGGTAAAACCAAAACCCTTTTTTGCGGGTTTGACAAGTTGTTCATACTCACCTAAAGGTGATCAAAAAATCGGGTCGGGCCTTAACATGATACGTCGTGCCCAAATCCATAAAAAAATAGCGGGCTTATAAGACTTTTTCGAGCCGGGTTCGGGCTTTTAACTAAAAATGGGTTCTTAGACTTGCCCAAACCCGCCCTATTTTCATGTCGGATCGGGCTGAGCCAATATTGATCACCTCTATACTCACCCTATAAAATGGATTGGGCTTGCCTATAAGATGCAGAACCTAGAAAAACTTTTATTTTCACCTATTCTAAATAATTTTTTAGAGGTACTTATAAATTTTTACAAAAAATGTTTTTGCTTGAACTATCTTATACTACCTTCATTTCATATTATCTGCAACATTTTCCAAAAATGGATGTTTCACATTATCTGCAACAAATCAAAAGTTTCCTCTT